GCCGCAGGCCGACGAGAACTCCGGCCTGTGGACCTCCATGTACCTCGCCTCCCAGGCCTTCCGCTACGCCGTGACCAAGGCACACCACAACCCACCGCTCAACACCACCTTGCATTGTTGGCATTCTTTCTTACTCTCGTCTATATGTGCTTTCTTCTTCTTCTTCTTCTTCAGGATCCCGAAGTGAAGAGGGAGGCTTGGAAGAACTTTGAGGCCATGGGTACCTTGATCGCCCCCCCCCAAGTCATTGATCGCTTGCATTGAGCTTATTGGTCAACATTCCAATCGACTTTGCTTTGTATGATCAAAACCAGAGTTCTTGTACAACGTTACGGGAATTCGAGGATTGATGGCGCGCACGGTGGCCCAGCAGAACACCCTCCCCAAAGCCAACTGGCACTTCAGCTCGGCCTACCCCGGCTGGGTGTGGCAAGGTGCGCTCTTATCAATCCGTTCAATCACCGACCACATTAGTACCTCTTTACTCACTACTACTGCCCATCAACATCTCAGGCGACACGTCGTCTGATGAGGTGACGGGCCACATGTTCGTGTATCCGCTCGTGCACGATCTCCTGGCCGAGACGCCCAGCGAGAAGGCCCGCGCGCTTCGGCTGGTGAACGACACCATGAGCTACATTGTCGACAACGGCCTCTACCTCATCGACGTCACCGGCAAGCCCACTCGATGGTACGTGCGTGCGGCCGCTTGATGCTATCTTAATCGCTTTTTTAGCTCCGACACCAACGCGTTGTTTTATGTCCGACACTATGTGTTTAGGGGCAAGTGGTCGCCGGAGTACCTCAACCACAATCTGACGTGGACCGATCAGAACGGACTCAACTCGCTCCAGATCGTGTCGTGGCTGCTCTCGGCCTACAGGCTCACGGGCGACCCCAAATTCCAGCACGAGATCAACAAGCTGGTGGAGAAGCACCAGTACGGCATCAACATCATCAACACCAAGGATGTCCACCCGGGCGACGACAACTATTCCGACGATGTACGTTGCAACCTTCTCCCATTACAAATCATTTCGTGATTGACACACCGCACACCGCACACACGACACCACACATACATACACACACACACACACACACACACACACACACACACGACACCACACACACACCACACACATACACACGACACACACGACACCACACACATACAC